ATGAAATATTCGGTCAGACTTGCAAAAGCAAAGGCACATACGCAAACGTACTCGCAAAGCGCCTGGATTGCACTTGCATACTCGCTCTCTATATATCTATGTATGTATCATCGCATCTTCACTGTCTTCTCATTAGTCTAGTCTTGAATGACTGAAAAGGTGTTCATCAAAAATATAACGGGTAATATGCTTCGTTGATGACTCTAACTCCCGTCTGCACACGGTTTTATAGCTAGGGAAAATAATATTTAGACCGATCCTTTGCTCCTTTTAATATTTAACAGTGAACAAGAAAAAACTTGCCAAATTGAAAAAAGCTGTAATTGCGACCAGTATCCCGTTTCGAGTTTGCAGCTCTTTGAACTTCTTTGTGGCATAAATCACATTTAAATTACCGAATATTCCGAAGGTCAATATCGATACCATTAGAGTTCCTATTACTAGCGATGTCATCATTTTCTAAAAAGTAATTTTTTGCTGAAAAATGCCTCTGAAACTTGATTAAATCATGTTTGCTTCTACCACGTACATGCGCTAACATTGAAAAGCTATATGAGATGAGAAACTTCCTCTTCCTCCTGTCAAGTCCCAGTTCTGCCTTGGTGCTTTAAAAAAATGTATTTTATTCCTTCTAACATAGTATCATCGAAGAAGATGTAATAGTTTAACACTTGCTTTGGTAGAATGCCTACGGCTCAAAGCATCAGTTTCTCTAATTCCATTTCTTCAGCTTTTTTTCCAGCAGTTTTCCAGTGTTTTGACCAATGCTGCATCGCACGATGGTCAGCGTTCCGGTAATCGCTCTGCATTTTCTGCCAGTATGAATTGATCCGCCAATTTAAAATGCCATTGGTCTGTACTGAGTGACACCACTGGTTCGGAATTTACCAGTCGTGGACTATGGTTAAGTAACCAGATCGACTAAGAGCGTAAAAACAAAAATATAATCTGGAAATAATAAAAAGCAAGTAATTTCTGTACAGCTGACGAACTATTTTATGCTTTCTTGACAATGAAGCAGGCGTCCGCCGTCCGCGTCGAATGAGTGAGTTTTGAAAGCGAATAATGAAGTTGAAAATTACTTCACAAGCACACAAAGGCAAGAAAAAAAAGAATAAAAACGTGTCATTGTTCCAAATTTCTGTAACTGAATGCTGAGATATAATTGCGTCTGTGAAATTCAAAAGGTAATAATTATGTAAAAGAAATTTGAGCCACTATTAAGAAAAATTTTTTTCCTGGCACAACAAATTTTTACTGTTCTCAAGATGTTATACATAAGAGCACGCTAATTTATTGAGTTTTATACGCACAAATTCGCCCTAATAGCTGTGATTTCTTCCTGTCCTTATGCATATTATTATTCATTCATCCGGTTAGTTTTATTCGCTTTAATAATTAGCTAATTTCGCTTTTATACAATGAGGAAAATTGAGTGGCGCCACCACATAAATGTATGAAAATCGGCTGCGCATAATCAAATCTTTTTGGAAAACTTATTTTAGTAGGGATTCCGGGAAATGCATAAAGATTTGCTCTTGTTCAAGCATGAATGGCGTAGAGCAAATTCCACTATCCTTCTACTAAAAATCTAGGGTTCGACTTTGTCAATCAGCCGTTTTATAAGCTGCACATTCAGTTTGATGGCAATAATGTGCCGGCTTAAGCCAGAGAGTTAAAATGCTTCATCAGTTTGCTTCTAAGGGAATTACAGAGCATCATAACTAAATGGTAAGTATAAGGCCGATCAAGCGTCCACCTTACTTCTCCTCTCCTCTCCCCTCTCTTAAAGGAAAGCAGAAAAATATCATTTCACTTGGTAAGTGGCGTCAAACTGACCAGCAGATGGCTAAACTTCAGTCACACGAATGTCAAAATCGAAAAATTTTAGTTGCGTCAATTACGTAAAATTGCCAAAAAAAAAATTTCCCATCATGATCCGGTGGTCAAGCTGCAGCTGGTCAGGATACCAAAGTAGAAGCCACACAATCTGCTGCTCCCTTTTTATGGACAGTGATGTATAAAATCGAATAAGCAAGTGTTCTACAGCCATTTGTGGGACGCTGATTGACGAACGATGGAGCAAAACCTTTCTACCATCTACGTGCAAAAATTTTAATTACATACGTGTTTGTGTGGTTTCCCGTTGTCCTACAATATATTGCCTACAACGTGCAAACAGACAAAACACGAAAACACATTTATGCAATTTAAAAATTTTTTAGCACGTCTTCAGTTAATGTTGTGGGCATGAACAAGCAGTTTCAGCGATACGGTACCGCAAATTAGCACTAGATCTTGATAGTCAGTGTGTAAGCTCATAATCACTGACTCATGTGACGAAGTGTTTGACGCTCGCTAAAATATACTTTCCAATAGACGCTCGATAGAGCTATTTCTTATTCTCGACAATTAAGTCGCGTCATAGTTCAGGATTTTTCGGGACTACCTTTCTATCCAAGACGAGAGCTAGGCCTGCTGCTAAATTTAATTACACATTATAAACACTTTTATTCAGACTAGTGATTAATGTCCTAGTAGATAGGCATGTTACGCCAAAATCAAAAAAGAAAGGTGAGCCCACCAGTCACGGTTGGTATAATCGTAGAATTCTTTTAACTCGCTTCGAGGTAGCGGAACACAACTACACGCTGGAAGAATTATAAGCTTATAGTCTCCTCATACTGCCTTGTTAGCTGAACAAGTTAAATAGGAAATAAATAGCAACGCGCACCAGACTAGCCGGTGCGATCATGCGTTTTGTGCAATTCAGCCCATCGACATAATAAATAGCAACGCACACCAGACTAGCCGGTGCGATCATGCGTTTTGTGCAATTCAGCCCATCGAACGATTGCTAACGCGCACCAGACTAGCCGGTGTGATCATGCGTTTTGTGCAATTCAGCCCATCGAACGATTGCCTCCGCTGCTTTGTACTTTTATCTATGCAAAAATAGTTCAAACATTGGAAAACAGTTAAAAATTTCATGCACCAGCGCATGAAAACTGAATTTGAAACCTTGGAGGATAAATATCTTTCCGTGATTCTCAAGTTAATAGTTTACCCGCCAAAATTTCCACGAGGCCGTACGTGTTACCCGCGGGTAAGGGAAGGCTGATTTTAAATGGGCAAGGTTGAGCGGGGGCAGGGAATCATTCCCCTAAAATATCAGCCTCCTAGACTCCGTGGTTCCCGAGATATTAACTTACCCGTCAAAAACTTTCAGGGGGCCGTATGTGTTACCCGCGGGTAAGGGAAGGCTGATTTTGAATTCGCAAGGTGCTTGTCCCCGGAGTGAAATATGACTATCAGCACGCTATAGCAAAAATAAGCACTTGACAACTAGATCGTTGTTTGTTCATGGTTCTCCGCTTTAAGAAGCGCTTCGAATGAACACCGGACACGCTAATTAACTTTAACTGTACAAATCATGAGCAAATTGATTTTTTTCCTGCACTGCAAATTTGAATCGAAAAATTTACTCAGTGCACGACTTCGAAAGTTTAGTATGTTTCACAGCACTGATAATAGAGTTCAGTAGTTGAATGTAAAAGGAGGAAGAGGGAGAAATGGAGGGAGGGAGGGAGAGAAGCACTAGCTGGAAGGTGAAAGGGTTATTCAACGGAAAGAAATCTGTAAAATTCACACACTTCATTCCATACTCACTTACTGACTATTTACTTGCTTAGAAGCAAGAGCTACTGAAAACCAGAAAAGATAAGGCAAAGATGAAAACACGAGAGAGGGAAGAGTTGAGGGGCTAAAAATAATAATGGGTCTTTTAAAAATAATGGGTCTTTTAAACCGTAAGACGAATTTGGAAGTTGTGTCTGCAGAGAGAACATCGATGCTGTAAAAACTATTAAATTTTTTGCCAAATAATTAAGCTGCGACATAAATAAACATCAAATTCTCGGCGGACATTCAATACCGAAATAACACATCATTTTCTATCAATCGGCATTTTTTGGTTAAGCTGTTTTTTTTTGCATACTCATTTACCACAACACGTTCCACATAGAGCAGTCGGGGAATGATTATTTGCTACACCACTCCTATTAGCTCCTCTACAAACTCTGTTGACTTCGGATTGTTGTCGAGGACTACTAGTACATTTCTTTCTCCTGAAAATCAACTCTTGGGGGCCACTGCTGCATCCCTCCTTCCTCAGGAACAGCACTTAGCGGATATCTTCACATTCCAAACCACTCATAATTGGAGCGCTGGTACAACACTTCTTGCTGGAATTCCAAGACAGCAAAATTCTAAACACTGAATTTTATGAAGTAATTAATTCTTCCACATCTGCAGGAACATGCAAAAATCACGGAAAACAATTGTTCCATCAAACACACAATTATATATATCCATCAATAGATCTCAAATTTTTTTAACAAATAACTGAAATAGAGAAGGCGCTCGTTTAGGTAACTCTTCTTTTATGCCGTTGCTTTGCCATGCGTGCCGAATTTGCTTTTTAGTCGATTTTCCTCCACAAAGCTGCCGCAGAAAAGCATTTCGATACTGCCGACTACGCCAGAATAATATGTAGTAATTATTACCATAGCTAATCAGTACTAGGAGATTACTGAATGCTATTATGTTGGCCTGAAAAAATCGAAGCTGCAGAATGACATTCTTTCGTAACCAGTTCTGCTTATATCTATTATGAGTTTAACTACTATTTATTAAAATGGGTTCAAAAAAAAAGTTTTGGATAAAGCTATTTTTTTAATGGCTTCAGTAAATAAAAGCTAATCTGCTGATCACTGAGACTAATCTGATTTAGTCAGGAATTGCGATTAATCTATTACATTTGGTTGTAAAACAAACCCAATGTACCACAGACTATAGAAAATTCTATTCAGTATCAGTAACTAGTAACCCAGTATTCGCCAGAATAATCAGCACCTTGGATGTCAGTGCGGCTCACCTTCATCTCAACTGACGCCCTTCCTTCTGCATGCCGGAAAGGATCAAAACACGACCAATATGCCCCAAGTGTTAGGCTACAACGTAGAGATCATTCTTGCTAATAGCGATTTGCGAGTTTAGTGCAAAAACGCATGATCTCACTGGAGAGCCTGGTGCGTTCCAACCTGAGTACGTATGAAGTCGTTTTTTCGGTAAATGCTCGCTTTGTGAAGAAATGACAAATACAAATTTTTTGAAAAAATGCAATTTTCCAGTTCACTATAAAGTGGAAGTACTGCTGGAGCGGTCGTTTATCAGAAAATCCATGTTCATTTACATATACTATTGCGGTTCAGGTCCAAATTGTCAACGATTTTTGGATTGAGGAGCTGCTTGAGGCTGTGGTTTGGGTGCTCGACAGCTGAGTTTAAAATCTTTAGCTCGCACATGCACAGAGAATATCCGTGCGAAGTTTCAGCTTTCTACGTCGCTTGGTTCGCAAAATCTTTTGCCGCCAACATATTTCTTTGGGGCTCCCGTAC